GCCTTCCAATTTAAGCCTGTTTGTTGTTAACAAGCTCAAGTATTATTGAAGCCAAAAGAGTTACTGTAGACATATAGAGATGATCTTTTTGGGAACAATTTGACAAATTGAATCTTTTTTTTTCAGGATAGATTGACTTGTGTTAGATGAAACTATCAAGCTCAACCAGGTTTACTTGAAAAATGAGAAAACACCATCAGTTTTAGGAACCTCGAGTAACAATAGAATTGAAAACAAATTCCCTGAATTTCTCACAGATAATTATGCCTCAGAGAGGCTCCGATTAAAGGGGAGACCCTGCCCCCCACCTCTAAAATAATGCTAGGAAAGAATACATTGATTTGCATGCACTCATGGAAAACATTTGCAAAGCCAACTGAGACCGAAGATGCATGCATATGTAAATTTGTAGAGGGTCAGAGGGGGAGGGTTTTGAAAGTATGTTGGTCTCTTGTTTTCAGTTTTCTTTCTGTGCTTAATCTAGGATTTTCCCAAATTTAAAGATTTTTCTGTTCCTAATTTTTTTAGTTAAGTAAAGTTGAAGCTGTTCCTGCCCATGTAAATAACTGTCCAATTGCAAAGGTTATCTACAAATAACCTTTGCAATTGCACAGATATCACAGTCCAAAAAGTAGAAACAGAAATCATATTAGATCTATAGCATCTAAAATAATGAGAAACAAATCTTTAGTAGTGTTTTGGTATAATAACCTGCAACAGAAAAATTAGGTTTGATTGTCAGAAGTTACTGTTCAGTTGTTGAAAGAATTTAACTTGACTTTGTCTTGCTTAATTACTGTTTTAGAGTTAAATATTCTAGGAGAGGTATACTTTTTCAGGTTGCTATTACAATAAAAATATCAACTAAAGGTTTGGAAAAGCACTTAAAGTGTTGCTGAGTTTCTTTTGCATAAATACAGCTCAGAGTGTATCATTATAAAAGGATTGATGCAGTTTCAAAAGTCTCTTGAGTCTATACAGCACAAGGTGTATCAGGAACCAAAGAAAAGGTAGATAAAGATCTGTTCACTAGGGACTGACAAAGGTTTTTTTTTAATGCAATGTTGTCAAGCCTGCTCTTGGTTGAAGAAGAAGCACCACACCTAACTAACTGGAAGTCCCCCATTCTTGTGCAAGATGCCAGTACTGGAAAAACAAAAAAACAAAAAAGAAACTTACCAACATCCTTTGTCAAACATTACACAAGAACTGTCTGAAGTGAAATATTACAAGTGATTTAAAAAATATAAAGTGTCTTTATTGTTCAAAATGTAGCAGCAACAGCTCTCAGAATGATTTAATAAGAAAAAAAATCTAAAATCCCTGCAACCATTTTGTCCACTGGTTTTAAGTAAGATCTTGATGGAAGTCAAGTGAAACCATTTTCAACTACAAACTATATTTTGTAGTCTGTGATTAAGACTTTAATGTGTCTTTGGATCTTTAGGATCTTCATTGCTTTGATTACCATATTCCAGTCTAGAGGCACCAAGAAGGGACTGCTTTACCTATGTTCCCCAGTTTCCATTTTTAAAATATCTAAAGAAAGGCTTGAGTTTGCATGATGCTGAGAAGTTCCTCACTTATTTTCTTGCTGTGTTTGTTGAATGTCCATATGATCATTTCTTGTCAGCCGTCTGCATTTCCCCTTTGTAACCACTGTCATTAACATATTTGTCCTTATTAACGTTCCATGGAAGATTTATACTTTTGTATTTCCCTTTTCTTAAATGAGCATACAGTAAGTACCAGCTCAGTCTGTGCTTCTGCATTCCAGATGTATGAGTGTCGCTAAGATAGATTAATGTTATACATTGCTAAATACATACGTACTATGCCTTTTGAAATCTAAAGTTTACGTAAATATCAGCACCAAAAATGAACCCATGAATCTGAATGTGTTCATGGACAGCAGGGGTGAGGTAGACTGCAGATACAGAAGCGAGATGAGTATCTGCATGCATATGTAAATGTTGGTCATACTGTTAAAGCCCTTTAATTTGCAAAAAAGACTTGAAAAGCTAAATACAAGATTAGTTTCTCTTTTACCACACCAGTTGTGAGTTGTTATTCTTACATAGGTACATTTAACCAGAAACACTCTGGGTGGTAAAAATCTTTCTTCAATGATGTGACAGATTTCTCAGATACATTAGAAAGCGATTATTTAAGTTACTGAACACTGGTTAATGTGACTAAACAGAATATTTTGACACATCCTGCATGTTATTTTTGCTTTTTTCAGAAGAATGTTATCACATCTCTGGACATGTAAAATTGCTTTCACTTGATTTATTTTAGGCCATATGTTTTGTTTTTATTTCCATGCCTCCTCTTTTTACCTTTGAACTTAAAGATATAATATCTTTAAACATGGATTTCCATTTATACTAAAACACTGCAGGGGGGTTTGAAAATAACACCTATCACAGAAAAATGACTAACTAACTGTCTCACTAATTTGAAGTGCATCCCATACAGTGGTGCACACACATGGCCGCAGCTCAATTTGGTATATTGACATGGTGAATGCAGCTTGCTTGATTTCAGTTCGGCGATTTTGAAAGCAGCATATCTGTAGGTGCCCAAAGAGTTGGTCCAGGTTTTTCAGAAACTTTGACCCACTGGGATTTTAGTGAACAGCTTTCTCTCTGGTCAACAGTGAATGGTCCCTAACACTGTAGTGAAAAGCAGCTATGGGAACTGATCTGGATGGTCATATAGAGACTATATAGAGTGGATTCATATTTACTGACACATTGTGATATTGGAGTCAGACATTTACAAAAACAAAAGGAGAGGATCACTCTCCACTGCACTATATCAACAATTAACCCTGGTGAAGGAGAAATAATAGCATGGAAATATTTCATTGCCAGACTTTAAGTCTCTCAGAGCAGGGGTCTTCAACGTTTTCCAGGCCAAGAACCCCTAAACTGATGGCGAGATGGAGCTGTGACCCCTTAATTATATATATTGTATGAAATTGTGTTTTATCAAACTGGTCCTATAATCAGTCTTACAGATGGAGTCATGTAATAAAAATTTATTTCGGCCTGGGATTATTAAAGTATTTCGGATTCTGATTCCGGGTTGATCTGACAGGTTCCTGTGTGTCACTTAATGCGTGCATTGATGACTGAAAGAAATCTTCGGGCTCTATTTATCTGTTTACTTTAGTGTGTTAATTTGTAGTTAAAGACATTTAAGTTTTTGGAAATTATTGCAGGGGGGAATATAAAAAAAAGTAATCAACCAGAACTTTCTCAACGCAAAATACTTTTGCATTTTTTAAACACCAATCAATTATCATCTCTGACCATGTTCAACCTAATATGACCAGTTTAAACATCCACCAGGGGCTCCAGCAAAAAGCACATATAATCGTAGACTGTTTTTAAAAAAAGGAGAAGTACAAAACTTTAGGTTTCAAAGGGTCTCTTCATTGTATTACCACGGAAATGGATGCATGATTACTTGTTAAAATACACAAGTATTTGGCTGTTGTTTTAAACATAGAGTGTTTCAATATGCAGCTAGAAGATCAAACCTTGGGCACAGTAAATGGTGGCATAGAGCCCATCGGCTATAAGCAGAGGCCCCATTCCATGACACAGCAATTCTGAATGTTTAGTTTAAGTGTCATTCTGCACGTCTTCCCCCTCTTTCCATGGCCTTTCCTGTCAGCTAACTTTGCCTTAAGGAGCATTTGAAATAAAGAAAGCTAAAACCTTACCAGATCTATATAAAAGATTGTTTTTGTGCATTAGGATAGCTCAAGAAGAAAGTTTGAAACTTAAAATGACAGAAGGATTAGGCCATACTGTTAATATGGATAAAATATCAGTTTATCTTGATAAATTCATGCAGCTCTATATGTGATAAATGACTGTAGAAAATATGAATCGGTGCATTGTGTTGTAGTCGTCTTTTACGTCATGGCAGGAATGAAGGTGTGTAAAAAATGTAGTGCAAAGCTGTTCCTGTTTGAGGTAAATTTAGATTTCTTTGTCTGTCTTTACTTTTGTTTTGAGCTGTCCATTTACACAAAACAGAAAATATCAGATCTGTGCATCAATCATAGACTAAATAGGAAAAAAAAATATCTCAAATTATAAACCTGGGCAACAAAAATTAGCAGATGATGGTCTTCATCAGTTATTAAAACATGTTTGACAGAGGGACCATTCTAGAGGGAAAAACAAGAACAAGCTATGTTTTTTTATAACAAAATCTAATTACAATGGCTATGCATTCATTGATGTATTTGAAATAATTGAATGAAAATATGAATGATTTGTGGAACTCCAGGTTTTTAATGATGGTGTATTTAACAAATTTGAAAACTTTTAAGAGGCTACATAAAAAAAATATATAGATAGACATAAAAAAAAAACGTTTTAGCTAAAAATAATATCTAAAGGACCAAAATCCAAATGTTTAACTGTTATAATGTAATTTATTATTATTTATAGGTAGAAATGAGGTACCCATATGAGGGTAACTGTCTAAGTTGTTTTACATTTCTGTGAGTAAGGCAAGAGACCAATACTAGCTTTGCATTTGATTACAACATCTTAAGTCTGGTGATATAAGAACTTTTTACAGAATTAATAAAATGCAAACAATTAGAAAACCTTAACAGCTTAATGTCTACAGCCTCCTCACAGCTGTACAGTTATGGTTAGAAAAATGACACACTACTTATACAAGGTAACATTATATATATATATATATATATATATATATATATATATATATATATATATATATATATATATATATATATATATATATATATATATATATATATTATATAAGATTGCTCATCTAATTTAAATACTACCTGTTTGTGTCACTCAGATATTATAGATGTTTATTGGATTACTCATCACACTGTTTTGGCCTTTTTCGTTGCACCCCATTCCTTCTACCTCCCGCCTCTTTTTGGATGGTTGCTGGAGATGAAACAAGTTCAGCTTGTATGTTTAGACAAAGAAAGAATTTGGTGCCTCCTTTAAAAAGCCTTGGCCACTGATAACTTCTTATTTTCATCACCTCACCTGAGGAAGAAAGGTGTTCATCACCTACTAATTCCAAGCTGTATTGACCGTAAGGAGCCTACTGGATAGTTGGTCTGAACTAAGGTAGGAAAATAACATATATGAAATTGTGTGTCTAAAATTTGAAATTTAAAACATCAAAGGTAAAAGGTTACTACTGATATGACTGAAGAATGAAATAACTTTTCATATTCTTGAAATGTTTATTATCTAGAATTAAGCCTAAACTTGGTTGGGTACTTTACAATTTCATTTTAAAACATTTTAATTTCTTCAATACACACTTTTTTGTGCTATGTTAAATTAATTTGATTTGGGTTTTTTTTACTAGTACTTCAAATTAGATAATTTCATAAATTATATATAAAAAAGAAAAACTAAGGAAGAGGAATGCTATGTACAGTTGTGCTTGAAAGTTACATACCCTTCCATTTCCATAAATGGAAATTGACAATAGAAATAATAAATAAAAATAATACAAATATTATGCCATTGATTTTGAATATTTATATATACATACATATGTATATATTAATACAAAAAACGAGTAAACAAACCTGATAGAGCACCTGAAATAAAATTTTGTTGAGCAACACAATAATCTGCATATTTCAAAAACCATAAACCAATCAAAGATGATGATGGTTTTGAGTTGAGAGGGTATTAAAGGGCTACATTTGAGCCATTTTTTTTTATAACATGGAAGTGCATTCCAAAAAACAGCAGTGACTTCTTTTGTTTGCTTTTATCTGCATGTTTTGTTAGAAAGTAAAACTAAATGATAGTATCTACATATAAACCAATGGAAAAAAAACCAAAACATTTAATTTCTTTATTTCAGAAATGTAAAGAGTCTTTATGCATTTATCAACTATTTAATTATTAAAATGTTCATGAAAAAAAATCTGAGTTAGAGTCCAGACCAAAGGCTGATGATTTACTTTTTTAACATATACATCTAATGTGTACTTTAAGTAAATAATTTATTTATACTCCATGCTATTGGTAAAAATCAAATCTTTTTTAAATCATATAAAATTAAATATTTTTTTAAATCATGTAAATATTTTATATGTGAAAAAAGGATCCTGTCACTTATTTGCAGTTATAAAGCAATGTTGTTTAAAGAACAGTGCTTATCTGTACAGACTAATAATGGTTTGCTCAGTTTCTAAGATTGATAAGGATTCTATTTGTTCAAGATGTTTGTCCTGTGGAAAAAGTGGCTAGAGCAGTAGAAGGAATCTTAAACTGCACCTGCAGATCTGATACTGCTTTGCCATGTAGATAAAAAGTTTCACAAACTCTGGAACGTTGAAGAACCCGGTTTGTCCACCTTGCTCTAGCAAGGTAAATCTATCTGCTGTAAGATAATAAACTAGTTCCTTCTAGAGTTTCAATAAGGACCTATAATTAGTGCATCCAGATAAACTGAACAAAGAGGACTTTTGTTTTTCTTGTAAAAACATTTTTTCATAACGGTAAATACACTAAATACAAACTTCTTTAGGATGCTGAGTTTTGGTTTTAAAAGTATACTCATTTCACAGTAAACATTTGTAATATCCAATAGTTAATTTAAAAAGGATTACAAAATGCAAACAAAAATATAACATTTTTTATTCTGAAATATTTTTCACAGAAAGCAGAGGATGGAGCTTTACATGTTTCTTCTCCTGTTAGCAGGTAACCGAAATATTGCAATTCATATTTGTATATGTATATGTGGGTGTAACAAAGGGAATGAGCAATGCCATAAGACAATTATAAGTTGAAGTTACACTGAAATAACCAAGTATCCCCTTTCTCTACAGGACTAATAGGAACAGGAACTGCACAGTCCACAACTACCGCAACAAGTAATACATTCAGAGGTTCCATTACTAACATCTATTAAATTCAGTATTACTTAACTTCCAAAGTTAAAATGTATTGGAAAATGGCAGCAGTTTCACAAGAATGGGTGCATGTGTGTGGTAAAATATAAAAGGTTAAAGTTACAGTCACCTGCTTGGAAAAGGAAAAAATTGTGTAGTTCTTTAAACAAACTAAAGTGTAAATGAATACAATTTCTAATTTTAGACGTTAATTAAATGTATAGGTCTAATTGAGCAGCATGGTGTTTAAAAAATCCCCATTAGTCATCAAAGCATGTGACTGAAAATCCACCGGGTGACAGAGTAACAGTGCAGTACATAACAACGACCACGAGAGGGCAGACCTGATATAGGAAAACTAAAAGTGTAGCTCTAGAATAGATAGTCATAGGAATGGGAGATGAATCAACTCAACTTTAAGACCGAGGAGAAGAAAACAAAAATTATTTTTTACCAATATGTGTGTCTTTTGATAACAGTTGATTCTGTGAATAAAGTCATTTTAAATTAACATAAATAATATTTTAAAGTAGTGAAAATGCATCAAATACACATAACAAACACTATATGAAAACAAAGACTTTTTATTAAATGTTAGCCAAAATTATTAATGTTTATATCATCCTTTTTAAAATAGAGGTGACTAACAAATAAAACTAAGTCTGCCTCAAACAAAGCTAATTGTTGCAATAAGTTAAAATAGCAAAGATTTATTTCGTCACAACAATACATTTTACAAGGTGGATAGACCTGAGCAAAAAACTCAACATTAAATTATACTCATATCACAAAGGAAACATTAGTAAATTAGTAATATAATTCTATTTTCCTTAATCAGAATGTAAAGATCAGGTGGTTTGCTACACTGCTATCTAACAACCTCTTAATTGAATCTCTACATTCAATTCAACAGCCGTTACAACAGGATCAACATCTGGTGGAACCTCAGCAACGCAGACTTCCACCCAGCCAGGAACTACTGGTAAGATTTTAATGCTGCTATGCAATACTAAGAATGGATAATAAATTGGCAATGCTTTGATTAAAAGACACAGTGGACCAAGTTTAGTGAAATAAGCATTTTAGTTTTGAACCACAAAGTTTAAAACATTTAGAACTATTCTCTGGTCTAATTTGGCTGGTTACCTATAGAAGCTGAGTATTTCCTATATTTACTGATAAATATCTTGATTCAAACCATAAACTGAATCTACTGTTCTTAGCATGAAAAATATGAATGATTCAGAAATGAACAATGTAGAAATTGACATAGAGTTACACAACTATTATGTTTTAGTCAGTACACCATAGAAAATGTGATGTCACTGTTTCTACTACTGGTATGCCAGGACGCTATGAAACGAAAAAATAGAGATAACTCCATTTGGATTTTGAAAAAACAATAGGTCAAAATGCCAAATATTTAACCCATCTCTACAATATACCTAAAACTTTTAGCCTTAGGAAAAAAATCAACGTTAAAAGACACTTATGTCACCATAGAAACATTAATAATATTCTTCTTTCCTTAATCAGAATGTAAAGATCAGGTGGTTTGCTACACTGCTATCTAACAACCTCTTAATTGAATCTCTACATTCAATTCAACAGCCGTTACAACAGGATCAACATCTGGTGGAACCTCAGCAACGCAGACTTCCACCCAGCCAGGAACTACTGGTAAGATTTTACTGCTGCTATGCAATACTAAGAATGGATAATAAATTGGCAATGCTTTGATTAAAAGACACAGTGGACCAAGTTTAGAGAAATAAACATTTTAGTTTTGAACCACAAAGTTTAAAACATTTAGAACTATTCTCTGCTCTAATTTGGCTGGTTACCTATAGAAGCTGAGTATTTCCTATGTTAACTGATAAATATCTTGACTCAAACCAAAAACTGAATCTACTGTTCTTAACATGAAAAATATAAATGATTCAGAAATTGAAAATGTAGAAATGTACACAGAATTACACAACTAGTATGTTTTAGTCAGCAAACCATAGAAAATGTAATGTCACTGTTTCTACTAATGGTATACCAGTATACAAGGAAGTGAAAAATGGAGATAAATATATTGGGAGAATGAAGATATTAAGTGGAAAAACACAAATATTTTATTAATCTCTACAATATACCTAAAACCTATGTTAATCATGAGAAAAAAAATCAACACTAAATAACACTGGTGTCACAGTAGAGTAATTATTAATATAGATTTTTTCTTAATCAGAATGTAAAGATCAGGTGGTTTGCTACACTGCTATCTAACAACCTCTTAATTGAATCTCTACATTCAATTCAACAGCCGTTACAACAGGATCAACATCTGGTGAAACCTCAGCAACGCAGACTTCAACCCAGCCAGGAACTACTGGTAAGATTTTACTGCTGCTATGCAATACTAAGAATGGATAATAAATTGGCAATGCTTTGATTAAAAGACACAGTGGACCAAGTTTAGTGAAATAAACATTTTAGTTTTGAACCACAAAGTTTAAAACATTTAGAACTATTCTCTGCTCTAATTTGGCTGGTTACCTATTGAAGCTGAGTATTTCCTATATTTACTGATAAATATCTTGACTCAAACCAAAAACTGAATCTACTGTTCTTAGCATGAAGAATATAAATTATTTAGAAATGAACAATGTAGAAATTAACATAGAATTACACAACTATTATGTTTCAGTCAGTACACCATAGAAAATGTGATGTCACTGTTTCTACTACTGGTATGCCAGGACACTATGAATTTAGAAATATGCAGTTAACTTAATTTGGAAAATGAAAATAATAAGTGCAAATGCCAAATATTTAATTCTTGTCTACAATATACCTAAAACCCATGTTAACCGTAAGAAAAAAAATCAACATTTAAAGACACTGATGTCACAATAGAGACATTATTAATATTGATTTTTCCTTAGTCAGAATGTGAAGATCAGGTGGTTTGCTACACTGCTATCTAACAACCTCTTAATTGAATCTCCACATTCAATTCAACAGCCGTTACAACAGGATCAACATCTGGTGGAACCTCAGCAACGCAGACTTCAACCCAGCCAGGAACTACTGGTAAGATTTTACTGCTGCTGTACAATACTAAGAATGGATAATAAATTGGCAATGCTTTGATTAAAAGACACAGTGGACCAAGTTTAGAGAAATAAACATTTTAGTTTTGAACCACAAAGTTTAAAACATTTAGAACTATTCTCTGCTCTAATTTGGCTGGTTACCTATTGAAGGTGAGTATTTCCTATATTTACTGATAAATATCTTGATTCAAACCATAAACTGAATCTACTGTTCTTAGCATGAAAAATATAAATGATTCAGAAATGAACAATGTAGAAATTAACATAGAATTACACAACTATTATGTTTTAGTCAGTACACCATAGAAAATGTGATGTCACTGTTTCTACTACTGGTATGCCAGGACACTATGAATTTAGAAATATGCAGTTAACTTAATTTGGAAAACTAAAATAATAAGTGCAAATGCCAAATATTTAATTCTTGTCTACAATATACCTTAAACCCATGTTTACCATAAGAAAAAAAATCAACATTTAAAGACACTGATGTCACAATAGAGACATTATTAGTATTGATTTTTCCTTAGTCAGAATGTGAAGATCAGGTGGTTTGCTACACTGCTATCTAACAACCTCTTAATTGAATCTCTACATTCAATTCAACAGCCGTTACAACAGGATCAACATCTGGTGAAACCTCAGCAAAGCAGACTTCCACCCAGCCAGGAACTACTGGTAAGATTTTACTGCTGCTGTACAATACTAAGAATGGATAATAAATTGGCAATGCTTTGATTAAAAGACACAGTGGACCAAGTAAAGTGAAATAATAATGTTAGTTTTGAACCACAAAGTTTAAAACATTTAGAACTATTCTCTGCTCTAATTTAGCATTTTTTTTCACATAAACTAAAACATATCTTGTCAAAAACCTGATACAAAAAAACAACCTAATTTCATTCTAAATTTAATTCAACAATTTTCATAGCATGTATGTAAAATTTACAACAGACAGAAATTTAAACAGGATCATACCACCATACCATTCTTATGCTCTGGTCATAACATAACCTAAAATAAAATTTGGCAGTTCTGTGCTATTCCAAAAAACGTCCCACTGCCAGTGATGGAAACTGAAAAAAAAAGTGAAAAAACATTCGAAAAAGTAACAACATTTAGTTATTCATTACCTTTACTAGGTTATTAAGCTAGTCAGCATGCAAACAGTATGACAAGATAGTACTCAGTACAAGATAGTACTTAGTAACTATTTTGTCATTACTTTTCATATAAATCAATAAATTGAATAATTAAATAATAGGAGAACATATCTGAAAACATAATAATCTGCACCATATTGATATTAGTAATTTGACAAGTAACAATATTTTTATGCAGATATGACTTTTAAGTTTTTTCATTTATATAAAATAACAATAAGCCAAATTAATAGTATTATAACTTTATATTTTTGCACATAAACAGCCTTCAAGTAGCTCTAAAATACCAATGAAGGTAAAAAATAATCCATCCATCCATTATCTGACACGCTTGTTCCGAGTGGGGTCGCAAGTGGTGCTGGTGCCTATCTCCAGCAGTCAATGGGCGAGAGGGTGGGTACCCCTGGACAGGTCGACAGTCCATCACAGGTACAAAATAATCTTTTGAAAGAAATAATATAAATACTATATTTTACAATTTAATTAAACAGGCCTCTGTTTCCACACAAAAACCCATCAGGACTGTATAATCAGTGTGAATATTGTGAAAAAACAATAAATTATGCAAGTGAATTCAGTATAACCTAAGAAAGTAAAGAGAAAATCTCAGGAACAGCGCTTCACTTTAGGGACAATGTCATTAAATCAGTGACCCTGCACAATCATCTGTCCTCTCAGTCTGTGTTTAATTTAAGCTGAACACCCAACCACATTGCAGCTATTCAGCCAGTCAGCATCATGTATGCCTCTATTTTAGACCCCCCCTTAATTAACAAATCTGCATCACATTTGCCTATCAGCTCTATGCTCAACTCTGCAATAAAAATCATTCCCTGCAGCAGAAAGGGTGCACATATAAAAAGACTCTTTGATGATTGTGAGAAACGCATTATAGTAATCAACTGCGTTATATTGTAAGTACTGTAATGACGTTACAAATACGTAAGTAGAGGAATTTTTCAATGAAAGATGAATGCTGTAAGAAATCCCATAATAATGGCATTTAACCCACCAATGTTCACTGCTGTTATGCATTAATGAACCACAGCTCAATAAATATTGAGTATAGAAAATCCTTTATTGTCCCACAATGGGGAAATTTACCAAAGATGATGACGCCATGAGTCATCATGCCTTTACCGTACCTCTGTTTAATGGTATGATGAATTCACAAATTGCAACATGCCAGTTAGAGTTAAATTCAACATAATCAACCTTAACCAGCAGTGTATGAAATCTAAAACCTTAAGTCGCTGTTGTTTACCAGCAGTACTCTTCACTTTGGAAGACTTGTACTGCTAAAGATTGATATGTTACCAGCTGCCCCAACTTTACCAACACTGAGCAAAACTACAATAGTCTTCTAAATCCACTGCTTTAAGTGTTTTTGTATGAAGAACATATGTTTGAATGATTATTCAAATATTAATTGCGATTTAATTTGTCCTTATTATAATCAGCTTCAACAACAACTACGACAACTGCTGCTCCAACTACAACCACAACTAGAAGACCTCCCCCACCACCAGAGCCAAAGATTGAGTTACAATTCAGTGTGCAGGAAACTTTCTCTGAGGATTTGAAGGACGAAACCTCACCAAGATTCATAGAGCTCAAGGGAGAAGTAACTAAAGGGGTAAGTTTGCTTTTTATCTTTTATAGAATTTTGCTATACTTGTTATACTTTTGTTATTCTTTTTCTTGCATTTTAAATTACAAAGACTTTTTGCAAAATGTCATTTAAAATATGTATCCATTTTTCCCTAAAAGCTGGATAAAACCTATAGGGACCAATTTGGGGATGAATTCAACAGAACTGAAGTCCGAGGATTCAGGTATATCTATTATATTTCCAGTAATTGAGTTTAAAAGCTGTTCCACTTGACAAAAGTTTTCTTTGGTAATATTTAGTCATTAAAAATGTCTGTTTATTTATTATTATTATTGTTGTTTATATTCATCTTTTCAAACCTCTCTTACAGTTATTTTTTTTATTAAATTTTAAAATATCAGGGAATTGAGTACGATGTATGAAAAGATAAATAAAAACATGTGATTTCTGTTGTAGGCAAGGATCAATTATAGTTGATGCTGAGCTGATATTCAATAACATCACAACACTACCAAATACCAGTGATGTGACTGAGACTTTAAAGAATGCAACCACTAGCAACGCTTTCAACTTCACTGTCAATACACAAAGTATTTCTGCAAGAGGTAAGACTACATTCCTTCTGACAAACTTTGCTTTTCTTCATGAAAAAATACTGCTTTTTGTACTTGTTTATCAAGGGCTCTGCTTGATGCAGACTAGTAACTCCCCTCACTATTACACAGTGATCATTTGCCAGGATATTCTGGAAGAAACTTGTTTAAAACTTAGTTGGGAGATTTTAAGTCATACTTCCCCACTCCTCTATTAACTCAGCTGTAGAACTCTGAAGATTAAGGTAGCAGCTGGTTCTTCCAGGCCAAGATCAGTATCTCTTTTAATAACGCTTAACCTCTCCAAACCCACCAGATCGCCAGCGACCCTTCTCAAAACGTTTAAAACTAACAACTAAAAACGCAGGAAAATTACACCAGTAAAATATTTACCAATTTAGACATGTTAGACATCGTTGGAAAGCTTAGATTCTCCACAATTCATCCTCCCAGTTCATTTTATGGACATAATAAGCACTAAAGCACAATTAACACAGATATAGCAGTATGTCAAAATGTAAAAATGACAAAGCAGCCACAACAATATACATTTGAAGGCGTCCAGGAGCCGTTTTATAAATCCAATCTTCAATTGTTTATACTCCATTCGTACATAAGGTTCCACAGATTAAAAGTAATCCAGCATATTTGTAATAAAATTGGCTTTGTAGCCAACGAAATAAGGTTTCACACAAGGCTAGACATGGCTGGGTTGCATAAAGACGAGCCATGTTACCGGCTTGTGTAAGAGTGAAACACACAGCTGAGAGTGGATCAATGCACCCTGCTCGAAGCTGAATAATAACAAAGGTCCTATTTTGGATGCTTATTTTTTTTTATCTAATGTCTAAGGCTGAAAAGAAAAACAAACAGCTTAGAAAAGGCACTGGGGCTTATCTTAGCTTGAAAAGCAGCAGTTTCACAATTTTTTTTAGATTTCTCTGTTATTGTAGGTGTATAAATGTTACATTTTTTTAATATACACTGATTCTTAAAAAAGTGGAAAATACTTGCTTCATAAATGTTTAGTTGCCATCAAAATACTTCAGTGTTATTCTATGGTTCAAATAGCTGAGTAAAAGGATTTGGCCCATTTGGAGCGATTTGGAGACACTGGTGACACCAAAAGTTCAAAGCCCCACAGCTCTGGAACTATTCCAGCTAGAGGTCTGAGATTTTTTGCATTTTTTGTTGACATGATGTAGAACAAACTCAATAAAATGCCACATGCCTATTCTCAAGTATGTCTTTATTACTGCTGTTCAAAAAGACCTATTATTTTCAAGAATAAAAAAACAACAACTTTGGGACATGTTTGAAGTGATGCAGCTTGGGTTGTTTTTTACTCACTTTTCATTTATATTTTCAGAAACTAGAAGGTGTTAGCTTTCAAATAATATATCATACACATAACTTGGGCTTAGAGTTCCTAAGTCATCTGTTTTTCCATTTGGGTATGCAAAATAGGCAAGGATTACTTCAAAATGAGGGGGGATGTTCTCTTAGTAATCTATTTACACAGCAGACACAGATGTCAGAAAAAACAAATTACCTCAATAAACTGATAATAGAAAAATTTATGTATTTTTGTTCTCTTTCAGTTGCACCACCTCCTACAACTGCAGCTCCAACTACAGCAACACCATCAGGTATCAACAAGGAGAATTTCAAAACAAATTTCATGGTTAATTAAACTAAAAAGAACAGTAGTTATGAAATGATAGACAAAGAACAATTAAAAATGGTCTTCGAAATATAATTCGTTTTTTTTTTTCATGAAATAGTTGAAGAATACTTGCAGTTTCATTTAAACAAAAAAATTGTGTAAAAACCCTGATATTTGATACGATTAAAATAACTGTATTGTACTTTATCACATTTCAGCAACTTCAAACATGACAGCAAATTCAACTGCAACTCCCATGTCAACAACTTCAAACATGACAACAAATTCAACTACACCTACCATGACAACAACTTCAAACATGACAACAAATTCAACTACACCTCCCATGACAACAACTTCAAACATGACAACAAATTCAACTCAACCTCCTGCAACAGCAAATTCAACAACTTCTCCAGGTAGGAACATGACACAATCAGTTCTTAATCAGTAGTTACCATTTCCTTGATGGGCCCTTGGCTTCTTGGCTGGTCCCCTAAAATTCCTTTTTTAAACATCAATCTTTATGCTAAAATATTCTTTCTGCCAACATTTGGGGGTCACTCCAGTGGCTGGAAGTTGGCGTTTGACTGGGAGGGCAATTTTGAATAGTTCCTACTGCTCTATCTATCTATCTATCTATCTATCTATCTATCTATCTATCTATCTATCTATCTATCTATCTATCTATCTATCTATCTATCTATCTATCTATCTATCTATCTATCTATCTATCTATCTATCTATCTATCTATCTATCTATCTATCTATCTATCTATCTATCTATCTATCTATCTATCTATCTATCTATCTATCATCTGTCTGTCTGTCTGTCTGTCTTTATATATATGTGTGTGTGTGACCTTTGTTTTATTTTTGTTTTTTGTTTGTAGAGAAACATATGAAGTAAAGTATTAATCTCCACTCAATGTAACCTCACCTGCAAGCAATATGACCTACTGCTGCTTTTATTGAAGAAAGCAAAATATTTGCATATCTAATTCTAAGATAAATACCTGACTTATGTGTACTTTCAAATTAGAAGTAACAAAATTGTGAAATTAAATAGTTTTTAAAATCAATAATAATAGTGTCATCTTTCCACCAGCCAATGGAACATCAGCACAACCACATAATCAGACAACTCCTACAACTCAAGTTCCTGTTACAACCATGATGACTACTGTTCCAGCAGATTCAAGGGTCAGGCTGGGATTTAGTTTGGACCAACAATTTGAAAGTGGCCTAGAAAACCCTCAATCGTCAGTATTTAGGAACCTGGCAGATAGACTAGAAATACAAGTAAGAATCATTGTTTCTTTGTAGATAATTCAATTATCCAGTCAATTAAATACTTTAACATAACTCAATGATGTTAAATAATGTTGGACATATAAAACAAATACTATTTGTGTATAATAATTGACTTGCATTGCTGATATTTTGTTGTTTCCTTTTTTTTTTCTTTTTACATTTTCAGCTCTTTAACAGCTTTAGGAGAAGGTTTAGGTTCCTTTTGAGAGTCCTGATCTTGAGATTCAGGTATATATAGAAATATATATAGCCTCAGGCACTTACATTATAAATATATTATTAAACATTTCTATTAATTTATTAATTTCTATTAAAATGCATCACTATATAAAGTTTATATATATATATATATATATATATATATATATATATATATATATATATATATATATATATATATATATATATATATATATATATATATATATATATATATATATATATATATATATTTTTTTTTTTTTTTTTTTACAGACCAGGTTCAATTCAAGTTGATTCTGAGCTGCAATTTCCAAATGCAAGCGCTGTGCCAGAGCCTAGAGCAGTAGAAAACGCTCTGGTGGAAGAAGCAAATACCAGCTCCAACTTCACACTTGTTCCAGGAAGTGTTGTTGTAACAAGTAAGCCTTTTTTGAATTGTGTTCTTAGTAATTGATTTGATACACAACAGTTGAACTTGCAGTGATTCAAAAACCTAATGCAAATGTTTTTACTTTACTCTTTTTAGTTTTTCGGAATAATGCAACAACAGTTAAAACATGGCACAATAATTTCTCATACTTTTAATTAAATTTTTCTAAGCAGAAACAGATTTGACGTTATAATTTATGCCTTTCTATGTTAAATTTATAAAAGCATTTTAAAACCGGGAATTGATAAATTTGGCAATGATAGTTCTGAACAAAGGAAGTTGTAAATACATTTCATGTGCTTGGGCATAAGGGAGCTTTACTCCATCTCAGCTCCTCAGTAGAATCCCACTTACAATAGTATCTATCAGGTCCAGGTTAGCTAATTTTTCCCCCTGTTTTAGTGATTATGTTTGCTTGTAAGTCTTTTTTAACAACAGCTATTTGTGACATGTCTTATTAGTTAATTTGTAAAACTTTAAGGAATGAATGTCACATGTCATTTAAACCACCTTAGTGCCGTCTTCAACAGCTACTCAAGATAACACACCCCCTCCAGTACCGGAGGCTAACATAGCCTTGACCACTCTCTTTAATCATATTGTCTTAAATTTTCTGTTTTCTTTTACAACCCATAAGTGAAATCCATTCTATTTTGAACTTTCCCTGTCAGTGAATAACCAACTTCTCCTGCAAAAACAGGGGCTAATGAAACTACAAATACAACAGTAAATTCAACTACTGCCACTACAACTACAGGAGCAAATTCAACTACAACTCCCATGACAGCAATTTCAAACATGACAACAAATTCAACTACACCTCCTATGACAGCAACTTCAAACATGACAGCAAATTCAACTACATCTCCCATGACAGCAACTTCAAACATGACAGCAAATTCAACTACACCTCCCATGACAGCAACTTCAAACATGACAGCAAATTCAACTACACCTCCCATGACAGCAACTTCAAACATGACAGCAAATTCAACTACACCTCCCATGACAGCAACTTTAAACATGACAGCAAATTCAACTACACCTCCCATGACAGCAACTTCAAACATGACAGCAAATTCAACTACACCTCCCATGACAACAACTTCAAACATGACAGCAACTTCAAACATGACAGCAAATTCAACTACACCTCCCATGACAGCAACTTCAAACATGACAGCAAATTCAACTACACCTCCCATGACAGCAACTTCAAACATGACAGCAACTTCAAACATGACAGCAACTTCAAACATGACAGCAAATTCAACTACACCTCCCATGACAGCAACTTCAAACATGACAACAAATTCAACTACAACTCCTGCAACAGCAAATTCAACAACTTCTCCAGGTAGGAACATGACACAATCAGTTCTTAAACAGTAGTTACCATTTCCTTGATGGGCCCTTGGCTGCTTTTTGGCTGGTCCCCTAAAATTCCTTTTTTAAACATCAATCTTTGGACTAAAATATTCTTTCTGCCAACATTTGGGGGTCACTCCAGTGGCTGGAAGTTGGCGTTTGACTGGGAGGGCAATTTTTAATGGTTGCTACTGCTCTATCTATCTATCTATCTATCTATCTATCTATCTATCTATCTATCTATCTATCTATCTATCTATCTATCTATCTATCTATCTATCTATCTATCTATCTATCTATCTATCTATCTATCTATCTATCTGTCTGTCTGTCTGTCTGTCTGTCTGTCTGTCTGTCTGTCTTTATATATATATGTGTGTGTGACCTTTGTTTTATTTTTGTTTTTTGTTTGTAGAGAAACATATGAAGTAAAGTATTAATCTCCACTCAATGTAACCTCACCAGCAAGCAATATGACCTACTGCTGCTTTTATTGAAGAAAGCAAAATATTTGCATATCTAATTCTAAGATAAATACCTGACTTATGTGTACTTTCAAATTACAAGTAACAAAATTGTGAAATTAAATAGTTTTTAAAATCAATAATAATAGTGTCATCTTTCCACCAGCCAATGGAACATCAGCACAACCACATAATCAGACAACTCCTACAACTCAAGTTCCTGTTACAACCATGATGACTACTGTTCCAGCAGATTCAAGGCTCAGGCTGGGATTTAGGTTGAACCAAACATTTGAAAGTGGCCTAGAAAACCCTCAATCGTCAGTATTTAGGAACCTGGCAGATAGACTAGAAAGACAAGTAAGAATCATTGTTTCTTTGTATATAATTCAATTATCTAGTCAATTAAATACTTTAACATAACTCAATGATGTTAAATAATGTTGGACATATAAAACAAACACTCTTTGTGTATAACAATTGACATCCATTGCTGATATTTTGTTGTTTCTTTTCTTTTTTTCTTTTTACATTTTCAGCTCTTTAACAGCTTTAGGAGAAGATTTAGGTTCCTTTTGAGAGTCCTGATCTTGAGATTCAGGTATATATAGAAATATACATAGCCTCAGGCACTTACATTATAAATATATTATTAAACATTTCTATTCATTTATTCATTTCTATTAAAATGCATCACTATATAAAGTTTTTTATATATAATTTTTTTTACAGTCAAGGTTCAGTTGTTGTTGATTCTGAGCTGCAATTTCCAAATGCAAGCTCTGTGCCAGAGCCTAGAGAAGTAGAAAACGCTCTGGTGGAAGAAGCAAATACCAGCTCCAACCTTACACTTGTTCCAGGAAGTGTTGTTGTAACAAGTAAGCCTTTTTTGAATTGTGTTCTTAGTAACTGATTTGATACACAAAAGTTGATCTTACAGTGATACATAAACCTAAAGCAAATGTTTTTACTTTACTTTTTTTAGTTTTTCGGATTAATGCAACAACAGTTAAAACATGGCACAATAATTTCTCATACTTTCAATTTTTCTAAACAGAGAGATTTTACATTATAATATGTGCCTTTCTATGACAAATTTATAAAAGTATTTTAAAACTGGGAATTGAAATTTGGCGATGATAGTTCTGAACAAGGGAAGTTCTAAATACATTTCATGTGCTTGGGCATAAGGGAGCTTTACTCCATCTCAGCTCCTCAGTAGAATCCCACTTACAATAGTATCTATCAGGTCCAGGTTAGCTAATTTTTCCCCCTGTTTTAGTGATTATGTTTGCTTGTAAGTCTTTTTTAACAACAGCTATTTGTGACTTGTCTTATTAGTTCATTCGTAAAACTTTAAGGAATGAATGTCACATGTCATTTAAACCACCTTAGCGCCGTCTTCTACAGTTACTCAAGATAGCACACCCCCTCCAGTACCGAAGGCTAACATAGCCTTGACCACTCTCTTTAATCGTATTATCTTAAATTTTCTGTTTTCTTTTACAACCCATAAGTGAAATCCAGACTATTTTGACCTTTCCCTGTCAGTGAATAACCAACTTCTCCTGCAAAAACAGGGGCTAATGAAACTACAAATACAACAGCAAATTCAACTACTGCCACTACAACTACAGCAGCAAATTCCACTACTGCCAGTGCAACTACAACTTCAGGATCGACAGGTCCTCCGACAGGCTCTGAGGGAAGCCTTAGCATTAGATTTAGTCTCAACAGAACCTTTATACCAGCTCTAGCCACGAGCGGCTCGCCAGAATTTATTGAACTGGCTTCAACTGTCGTCAAAGAGGTAATTTAAATGTACATTATAACTACTTCTCTGAATAAGAATGCTAGATGTTAATACATTGGGAGGATTTGCTACATTTTACTATTAGACCTTTAAGCTAATGCAGATAAACTTTCTGCTGCTCTGACTTCTAATATTTAAGGTGGAGCCTATATAATGAAGAGCAAATAAAACAAAAAGAGTTACATATATGCTGGATGTCACTTCATGCTTGTGAAAATGTAACACTATCTTGGTCTTTCAGATTAACAGAATTTGTAAGATACTCTTTTCTGGATTCCTGCGCTCACTGGTCAATTCATTCACGTAAGATTTTATTACCGTCTCTGTCTATACTTTCTTTTTGTTGGTAGGTTGCCTTTTAATGTGTTACCTTTTTTATTTTAGGGAAGGATCTGTAGTTACCAACATGACTCTAGTGTTCAGAGACGCTTCTTCAGTTCCTGATTTAAACACTGCTCAATCCCAGCTGGCCAGCGCACTTCTTACTTCTAACGTCCTGAATTATATAAATGGAAGCCTGGTTGTTGGTAAGTCATGGCAAACTCAAAAGTCTTCTGGCAGTAAAATAGCATTGGATAAAACACATTGGATGAAACAAACATTTTGCCTTTAAAAGGCAAATTAAATGTTAATGTACATACATTCTTTTAGGTCATATGCTGACTTTACTGACTTCTTTAACTCTGTTTTCAATATTTTAGAACCAACAACAACATCAAGCAGTCCCCCTCAACCAACACTGGGCGGATTAACTATTTTCTCACTAACCATGCTGGCTGTGGCACAGATGCTGATCAACTCATAGTACTCTAAGTACAATCATTGTCAATTGCTGCAACTGTGCATGGAGTCATATGTAAATTTGATGTAGCACATGTGCACAATGAAATTTACCATTTGTTCATGTGGTAAAAAGATGTGTTGTGTGGGTCAAAGATTACTAAAGCTTTAAATTACTTTCCAAATTGAAATAATGTCTTATTTAAGTTAGTGATTGATATAATCCTTGCAAAAATCTGTTTATCTCTGTGTGTTTGTGTTTTCTTGATATGCACAGTTTCTTTGATTTCATTACAAAATTAAAAAAATAAATATGTCTAAATTATAATGTACTTCACATTTATGTTGTAAAATTACAATATGTGACTCATCATTTTTGTTTCATTAAAATCCATATATTGTCAAAGAATGTAAGTGTGGTTATTATAGAATAGTGCATAAAGCAATGACAAAAGGGCAAATTAAAAACTAAAAAGTGTCATGATTTAACTAAAGATCTGACCCAAATGCAGAAGACCAAACAGAGAGATTAGGGAAAAGTTTAACAGGTTTATTTAGAATAATGAGATGAGTCCATAGCTGCTCTGAACACTGTCGAACCAGAACTGGAAAGTGAGGGGAAGACACTGTGGTTACTTCAGGCTCAGTGGGAAATTAGATTCTTTGACTTGAAGAGGAGGAATGGGTTGCAGACTCACGTTTCCAGGAAAATATGTCTTAAATTGAATCCAGTCTGTGTGGGATGTTCCTGTGATTGTCTTGTTTGATGGAGGGCTGACAGGGTTTACCCAGATTGCAGTTGTTCCTTGATGAACGGAGAAGCTGACTGCCACTTAGATTTCCTGCAGTAATTGAACGAGTTATTGTGGAGATGAATCCCCTGCTCAGAGAGAAGCCCCAGACGATCCTTGGGGAAAAAAGGTTGACCCAACCACAAACTTGAATCCTCAGCTCAGTTTGGTTTTCAGAAGATCCTTCCAGGGGAGAGAAGGTCCGAAACATCCAGTTTGCAGGATGACTTCCTGCCGAGAGGCAAGGACAAAAACAGCTAGATTAAAACTCAGGTAAACAAAACTCAGCTTGGCTAGAATACCCCAAACTGGCAAACACCCTGGTGTTGAGGTAGTGGCAGTCAGCAGCTTAAGAGTCCTCAGGTAATGAGGCAACCAGCTGCAGGTGTGCAGGGAGGCCCAATGAGGATGGGGCAACACCTGGTGGAGGAGAAAAGGAAACGCAAAAACAGACCACACAAACTGGATTCCTGACAAAAAGTAGGCCACTGATATGCATTTCTGTCCCTTCCAATCCTTCTACCCCAAATAAGAGGTCCAACAACTAAACACATTTTATTATTTGGTAGGACATACATCTACAATCAGAAACTATACTTTAACTTTATAATGTAAACATGGTAGAGAAATGTTACAGCTATCAGCGGAGGCTCCTATAATACTGTTGTGGAGAAAAGGAATAGGAAGGTAGAATTGTACCAGAATAAGGGTAATATTGGCTCCTTAAATATCAGCAGGGAAATTTTGCAAGAGCACTACAGCACTCACAATAAGCAAACAGACTGTAGTGATGCTAACTGGCCTGTCCCTGAGCACAAATTTATGTTGCTCACCTTCTCTGGGACAGAGAGGGGCGGTTGAAGAAACGGGGCTGCTGCTGGTGGATCATCCTTTTTCAGTTTTTAATGTAAATATCCTGATAAACACCCACTAGTGTTTAGTTGATGTTAACCCTCTGAGGACTATAGCATTTTCTTTTTGCCTGGTCTGATTTGTCAAGGTAAATTCTCAGCTCTCTGAGCTTTCTGACTTAGTTATTTGGCCCCTACAGACACATAATAGGGTCATTAAATCCTGTATTCATCCTGGTTTAATTCTTCTTGAAATTAAAAAAAGAAACACAACAAAATAGCAATTAAAAATTTGCAATCATGTTTCATTTCCAAGAGCATCCTGCTGGTCACATCATTAATAATGTGATTCCCCTTCAACCTTGAGAAGGATTAAGTAGTTGCAGCCAGCTTATAGATATATGTATTTTACTTGATCCTTCTATCCTTAATTTGAACTATTTAGGTAACAAACCTTTCTTTAAAAACTGGATCATAATGATAAAATGTAATATTTATAGAAAAGGTAGTGTGGCTCGGTCTAGAAAGCACAGACTTCTCCAGAGGGGGTTGATTGCTACTTAGCGTAGCTTTAAGCTGACAATGGCATGTCTAGCCTTACACGGCCGCAACAGGAAGTTAACTGGGAGCTAATCACTTAAATAAACTCTGTTGCAGGGTTGGGACTTCAGAGAGGAGTCCTTCCTGCTCCATCAATGACATTTGATCTCAACAGTAAACATAAAAAAAAGTTTCAAGAGCAGCTGGTGTCATGATGGGTAAAGAACCTAGCCCATATGCAGAACACTCGGAGGCAGGAGAAAAGTTCAAAAGGTTTATTAAAGGAATGTGAAATAATTTAACAGGTCCAGGGTTAGCGAGACTGATCTGGATTTGGTTCACCGCTAATGAGGAGATGAGCCGAGCTACAGAGAGAGGGGGAACCTTGTGGATCCAGAGGCTGCTGGCAGGCCGAGGGCTGAGGGCCCAGCAGAGCAAGTGCAGACAGGAGGTGAACTGAGACCTAGGCTGAGACAGTCTGAGTGCTGCGGGCTGGTTCCAGGTTGGAAACAATGTGCAGGCTGGAGGAGAGCTGAGAGCTAGGCAGAGGTAGTCTGAGTGCTGGCGGGCAGGTTTCTGGCTGGGAACCCTGTGCAGGCAGGAGGAGAGTAGAGAGCTGGGCAGAGGCAGTCCGAGTGCAGGTTGGCTGATTCCTGATAAGCTCTCTCTCTCTCCTGAGAGCTGGGTTGAGACAGTCTGAGTGCAGGCTTGCAGACTCCAGGTTTGGTTCTTTCTCTCTCTCTCTCTTGAGAGCTTGGTCTGAGGCAGAGGCAGGGCTTACTGTATTAATCCAGGCAGATCACGGACAGAGTCTCTCTCCAAGTTATCTTCTGAGGGCGGGCAGGCAGATGCTGACAGGAGAAGCCCTCCAGATTTAAACAGAGAGCAGGCAGACTGGTCACCGGCAGAGAAACTCTCCAGAGTTTCAGGTTAACAGGCAGATTCAACCCTAACTGGCTTGGAGTGTTAGTCTCCTCCTCCTTAAGTAGGCCCAAGGCTGATGAGGAGAGGAAAGACAGGTGTTGCAGGTGAGCACAAGCCCTCAGGAAGGGATCCTTGGCGCCCTCTGGTGGGCAAGCCTCTGGATCCCAACAGACAGCAGAAGCCCTCAGAAAGGGATCCTCGGCGCCCTCTGGTGGGCAAACCTCCGGATCCCAACAGCTGGTATCCCTTAGATATCCGTGTGTGGAAGCCAAAACCTATGGTGATTACAAAATATTATTAAGGGTGGTATATGCTATCTGTAGCTGCAGTTTAGTATTTAGTATTAGTGTGTACCCTTTAACACCTTTAACCAAATTCCTGTGTTGTATATGGGCCGGAGGGCCCAAGGAGAGAAAGAAACCCTAGCCAAGCCATGACCAAGCCAAAGGGCCCAGCCCCCACATCTCTACTGTGTCTTTATAACAAAGTAGTGTGCTCAGATGAAAACTCCTAATCGCCTTTTATGTCCCAGTCCCAGCAAAGAGCATTTCAATCTCAAAAACTCACACGAAGAAAACACAATTAAAAGTAATTTATTGATACAATTACTTGGTCTTTGGCGCTCAGACCTTGGCAGGAAACATAGCGCTGAATTTGATGGATATGCATGAACAGGGGTAAAGAATAGGGCTGTTCCCCCCCCCCCCCCCCAGGCCTGAAACTGGTGGTGGAGAGGAGATAAATGAAGTTGGTCAGTCTGTAGACTGCTGGTTAGCGAGACGTTATGCTGAGCTTTATGGGGAGATCTTTTGTATGGAAGCTGTGCACAAATATATGAAGGATAACAAATATACAAATTATTCTAAAGATTTGGTTTTGTGCTTAGGTGCAACATTTTATTTTTAACATACAATATATGACTGATTCTTTCCTTAGAGCATTTAGAATTCTAATTCCCCCTGCTGTCATTTCTCAGATTTTTGAAGTGATTTGGCAGGGGAGTTGGTAGCAGAGGTGCAATGTGATCATTGTTGCGTGCACTCATTAAAACCCTCCTTTTTCCTCTTTCATCTGAATAAAACAAAGGGTGATAGAGCATGTTAGTTTGGTACAGACATGTGGGCAGGTGATCATCTCTCCTCTGTTCAGGTGAGTAAACTAATTCACATTATACATACACACAAAGAAAAATTGTGTTGTTGCACTCCAACTACTTAATGCAAAGTTGTTGTTTTTTAAGTGTCTGTTTCTGTCAGTTTCACTAACAAAACTGTAATAAGTACCTGTTTTGTTATTATTATAATTATATTAATTGCTAGGAACAAAAGATATTTCAAAACATTTCAGTTAGAAAACAGATGAACAAATTTGTGTAATGAAAAATTCAATCTTCATTCTTCATCTTCTAATTTTTTTATATATATAAAAAACGTAGTCATTTTAACATAAAGAGCAATAAAAAAATCTGTTTCTAAGAAAATTCAAAAAATATGTGAGCATGGGAGAAGGGGCTTTAATGCAGAAATACTAGATATCATTTTCTATGGTAATTGTTTGATATTTGAACTTAATTTTTTGCTTAGCTCTCTTTTTCATTTCCACTCGATGCACAATACTTTATTTCAATTGCATGAATTACTCCATTAAACCGGGATTGTATGAAGGCGATCATTCTGTGGCTCTGCTGAGCGGGTTAAGGAAGCCCAGGTTGTTTTTATACTGGCCTTTAACTCACCTGGGTTGTTGGCTCTTGTTTTTCTAATATTAACAGCATTTCAAGCTCTGTATCATTTAGCTCAGGCCAGTTTGCTGACCAATCAAGTCATAGTGGGATGTTTTAGCAAGTGAGATGTTATTTTGGTGTTAGTAGACTACCAGATATTGGTCTGTCTCATTAAACCCCAGTCACCCCTTGATGATTTAGGCAGCTTATGCCTGACGTACGAAAAATATGGCAAAAATGCTGACATACATTGGATAAATTATGGGTACTTTTTGTATAAGTTATGAGCACGCTGTAGCACGTTTGCACATGCCGACATATGGCAAGTACATTGTTTCTTGACTTATGCCAGTGTATGTTAATAGTTGGGTTAAAGTTATTTGACATACTTTTAGTGTAAGTTAATCATAATTCCTGGTGTCTAGCTTATCCAAATTCTATGAGTAATGCATATTAACGTATTTGACATGTTCCAGATGACTGCTGAACGTGTTTCTACTTACCGCTACTCTTTAATGGCATATTGGAAGCGTTTTGGCTATAAAAGGGAGTTCACAGGAGGAAACCGTCAATACTCCTCCAAACTTTATCCCCATCATAGGGTGAGCATGAACATGAGTGTTTCCGATTGCAAACCCTCTTTCCTTTCTTTTTATCTATTTACTATCTATTTATTATTTATTTAGCTTTGAGTTTTATGCTCTATAAAACCTCGGTCTCAACGCTATTTCTGACATTTTGAATTCAAAAAGCTTGAAAAAGCTTCCTGGATAGTAAGCGAAACGTCTTCAAACATCTTCAAACTTGGAAATAAAGTCCAGTGGATTTTTATTTTATTTTCTTTTTTAACTTTTTTGGGATAGGTTAATACCGCAATCAATGGAATCTTTTTATGTAGGATGGGCAACTCCAGGCACATTGCTGCCCCCTTTAGGACACAGGCTTGTGACAGTTCATAGGCATTATACTGCCATGTCTTATGCATAAGGTAGGCTGTCATTGCACCGAAGTTCTGGACTTATTATGAATATGCTATGTGTATGACCAAAATTGAAAAAATACATAGAAAGTTCAGCGTATGACAGTGTTTAAAAGATTCTGGGACATCAGGTGTACCCTGACTAAATCGTCAAGGTGTGACAGGGGTTTTTACTACCATGAGATATTTGAGAAGTTGCATGCACAACTGCTTTCGGTCACTTCATAGCAACTCTAATTTAGGCTTAAGCCCAAATCAAAGCTAATTTCCTGATTAGTGTTTTTGAAGATCAAATGTCAATGATGTAAGCAAGAGTGACTACCCCTGAATGACTTAATCAGCTGACTCATATTCCAACCCCTCTTTCCTGTGGCTTTCAAGCCTTGATAGGGGAGACAGTTTTCATACCCCTTTTTCCCCTTCTGTTCATCAAATGGGTAGAATAGATATTTTTACGGGTCTGATTCAACTGCTGGTGGTTCTTAAGTAAGAGTTCTTATTTGAATGGTAATTCTCACTGAGGCTAACTGAACGATCCATGCTGGGTGTTACTATCTGCTTAATAACTTTTTTCTATTTGTTTATAGGTTACTCTGGTTGGACTGACTATTTCCGTTATCTCCAAGCTACATCAATACCGGCCACTTGTTAGCGGCCATCTTGTGAGTTCTCCAACCCTTTTGTTCGAACTGGGCCCACTCTGGAACCACATATCTGGGTGCCAGATAAGCTAACCCAGTCTGTCCAGTGTCTTTACATGTTAATGTTTTTATGATTCATTGGTCATTTTCTCTACTGGTTACATTTAATATCTCTGCATCAGGCTAATTCACATTTATCTGCTGCTATTTAAAAAGGACAAAATCATTGAGCGTTAAAACTTGAACATTCCTCTTAAACGAACTCTTAAAACCCCATTTTCCACTTTTTGTTTAATTTTAAATATTTGTGCTTATTTTCAGTAGTGTTTAGTGTTTCCGTAATTATTAAATACAATAATACTGTCACTGTTAGCTAATAAAGTTACAATTGTATTTTAACCTGTGGTCTTTTATGGTTATTTTATCCTGGGAACGATTTATCACTCAAGCCAGATCCACCCTCCTTTCGTTGACATTTGAATTAGCAGAGACATTTTCTTTTGTTGGCAATTTAATAACTCTGCTTGTACAGTTTAAATTAGCGATAGTCTAAATGACTAAATAGTTAAAGGCAACTGGATTTTAACGATCCATAAGTCCAACCATTCTGTAAAAGAGTTAGAAAGTTGTTCAAACAGTAACAGTAAGAAAATTACTCTTACAATAATATCAATTGGTGTGACCTTCAATGTGAATGACTTTATTAGCTATAGCTTCCAGTTTTTGTCATTTGACATTTTTGAATTGTCTGTTTTGGTAGGTACGATAAGACCATGGAGAACGGCAGTCGAGAATGGCCTGGAAATAGTAATGCATCGGTTCAGATTGAGCTACTGGCATGTGTCACAATGAGGAGCCACATCTCGAGGATTTTCCTGTATACCTTCCTCTCAGTTGGCATAGTCTGCACTGTTGTGGGGAACGTTTTGGTTGTCTTATCCATCTCCTACTTTAAGCAGCTACAGTCTCCTACAAATTCTTTTGTTTTGTCCCTTGCAGTGGCTGACTGCCTTGTTGGACTGCTGGTGATGCCTTTTAGTATGATACGGACTGTGGAGGGATGTTGGTATTTTGGTTCCTTATTTTGCAAGTTTCACTCCAGCCTAGATGTCATGCTGTGTACTGCCTCTATATTCCACCTCAGCTGCATTGCCTTTGACCGTTACTATGCGGTGTGCAACCCCCTGGTTTACTCCTTAAAGATGTCCAATAGTAATGTAGCTATGCTCATTGCCATTTGTTGGACTGTTCCAATGCTCATTTCATTTGGCCCCATAATGTTAGACCTTCACATTGCTAATGTAGACATCTTAATTCCTTCAGATTTGTGTGTGTTCTTGGTCAGCCGTGTTTATGCCGTCATGGCCTCTTTGGTAGCCTTTTACCTCCCTATGGCTGTCATGCTTGTGGCATACTGGAAGATCTACAAAGCTGCAAAGCGACAGTCTAAGCAGATCAGTGCCATGGAAAGCCAAATGGCTGCTGGAGTGGGCAAAGATTCAAGCAAGAAAAAAAGACACCGCAACACTATGAAGAGAGAAGGAAAGGCTGCAAAAACTCTAGGTATTATCATGGGAGTTTTCCTTATCTTCTGGATGCCTTTCTTTACTGTCAACATTGTTGATCCATTCATTGAATACAGCACAGAAGTTGTTGTATGGGATGTTTTTCTCTGGTTGGGATACATCAACTCATCATTAAATCCCTTCCTGTATGGATTTTTCAATCACTGCTTTCGTAGGGCTTTCATCATGTTTATAAGCTGCAGAGTGTGCCTCCCTGGAATATCGCCCGGGATGGAGCTATCACATTCTAAGAAAGAGAAAAACTAATGTACAGATAAGTTCTTAAAATGACGTTTCCTAAAACTATAAAAACCTAAAGTAGGTGCTAGAGTTGTTAGTAAAAATAAAAAGTGTGATTATAAAGTACAACTCAACTACTCTAGCCAGACTTAGTTTTTAATAAATTTGCAGTATGTTAACCTTTAAATTTAGTGCTACACTGATTTTGATACCAACAAGTTAGAACTAACAGTAACATTCCTCTCAAAACATGCAGTTTCTAGCTTTACCTGCTTTGAAGTTTTCCCTCTGCGTATTGTAAGTGATATGCCATGGAACCATCTATTTCATATGTATATAGAAACACATTTATTTGCTAAAGTCGTTCACATAAAAGAAAATTAAGTTTATGGAAGAGGGAAAACCACAAAAAATGTTAAATATTCAAACAGCAACATATTTAAAAAGTGTAATATAGTAATACATCTTTGCAAACCACACGTTTGTTTTGTTTCAGCAGAATTGTCAATAATCCCTTTGGTTCCTGCTGTCAGAGAAACTTGTATTTGTCAACTTTAAAGATGTGAATGCAATCATGAAGGTAAAAAGTGTATGTCAAACGTGTTTATTTATTTGATGATCACTTATCTTAAATGTATTAACTTTGATAAGACAAGCATACTTTTGAAAACACAAAATGTTGAACACAGAAAGCATGGGATGCAAAAATATAAACTTAATCTCTAAGAAAAGGACATGCTCTGCTCTAACTACATGGTCTTAATGTACACTTGTTTTTTATGTACTTCATATGAATTAGTTTATGTTATGTTATCTGATTATTGGGGTGTTATTGTCAATCTGCATTAGTATTAGTTTTTATTTTTAAAAACAATTTTATTCTTTTAATCATTGTGTATGGACATTTTAGACAGATTCTTACCTTAATGTATCGTAGTTATAAACCTTGTAAAGATAAATTTGCCATATTAAATAAGAATTGTTAACTACAAACAAATGGAACAAGTGTTGATGTAGTTTATCTGGTTATTATTCTGGTAAAGGCCTGTTACCAAAATGACATTAAAAGTTGACATAAAGTGTGTTACTCCTTTTTTTTTTTGTTTATAAATTTTTTATTTCACTTTAAGAAGATTTCTTGGTGTCTGTGTTTTTATTTAAATAATTCAACAAAGCCCCTTAATCTGTTTTTTTGTTGTGCTTTTTGTTTTCTTAGGCCTACTAACCTATTTTGTAGCCATATACCTGATAAATTTCTACAAGGAAAACAGTTCAACAATTTTCATCTCTCCGACAACTTTTACTAGTTGCCTGCAAGCAACAGCAACTGGAGAGACTCATATGGAGAAATCATGCAATTAGTAAGATTTCATTAACATTAATTAAATTCTTTGGTTCTCAGCTCCAGGCAGAATTTCTCACATTAGTTACACAAAACTGAAAAAAAAAAAAAAAAATGATAAATACAAATTTGAGGAAAATGATAACTCAAGGAAATTAAATGTTTATTATGATTTTTTCCCCTAAAAAATAATTCTAAAAAATCAAACTGTCCCAGACAAATTAAAGTACTTTGCTCATGAACAGTGAATCAACATACCTGTCAACAGCAGCAAAAGTCTTAGTAAACAATTCCAGAACGTTACAGAAAACACTTGATTTCGATTGCCTCAAAGTGTTACTCAAAAAGGCTTAGTATATATATATATATATATATATATATATATATATATATATATATATATATATATATATATATATATATATATATATATATATATATATATATATATATATATATATATATATATATATATATATAAATGTATTTTACTGGAGGCTGATTTTTTTCTGTCTTTAATGGAAGGGTATTTAAACTTTGAAGCTATATAGTCAGTCAGCTCAGAATTATGGAGAGATAGACACTAGGTGGTGTCAGAGCTTTCTTTCTTTCCTTCTTTCTTTCTCATTTGTAAAATGAGAAAGAAAGAATATGTCAAAATATATATCATGATGTCAAATGTCAAAATATATATCATGTGTGCCACTGATGTTTTAGGGATAACATAGCTTTTTAGATAATCAAGAGATATCCCCCCCATTAAGCTATTTTTTTTTTGAGATAGAGTCACTGTTGCACACTTAATAAATAATCAGTGTGGTGTTGCGCAGGTTCTTTTATTTTGACAATTGCTGTGGAAACATGAGAGCGACAGTGAGCGCCTTCACTGACCAGCCGTTGCTACGCTTAACTGCCGTTGGCTCGCTGAGTCAGGAGTGCTGCTCACCGTGCTCCATGTGCCCCCTGGTGGCGAAGCGTTGTCACTGCAGTCCAGTGCATCTCAGTAAGATAAGTGGAGCTTAAGAGCACAGCCAGGATAAGAAAAATGGAAGCCAATAAACAACAGAAAAGGGAGGGGGTGTAATTACATCTGATGTCCATTCTCTCACACTCTCCCCTCAAAAATGAATGTCGTCCCGACATTTGGGTACCCTAGCTTTACAGCAAATAAATCAGTAAACATGTTGTTTTGATGCTTTACAATCATGCAGAGTTCTTCTAAGAAGGAGTGAGAATGAATGTTCAAAGAGATGCTATGCTGTGTTCAGTCCGAAAATATGACATGTATCTCCTATTAATGTCACATTGTTGCAGTCGACGTCATTGTGCACGATGACAATCCACCACTTGATCCGCCAGTAGCGTAAATATCTGCAATCTCTTCTGAGAGTAAGGTACTTTAACTTACAAGTAAACTCTACCTTCAAAACATGCTAAAACAGATACCATGGGTACTCATATCATTCTAACTAAAACATATCAAAAGTAGTTAACCATGCAAATTATTATAACTTATTCACATCACATAAAAGGCTGTCCCAGATTATGGTAATTAAATCTTGACATAGGTTTTCTTGTTCGAAAAGGATACCTTCTCACCCTGCGGGGTGATGTGTCAGTCTCTTCTGGGTCACTGTCAGCTGACTGGTGAGACTCATCTCCACTGTTCATGTTCTCTGGATGAAAGTCTTCTCCTAGTCCTTCCATGTCCTCACCAAGAGTTGGTTGCTGCACTGGTCCACCACCATCAGCTATGCAGTCCCTTTGCATGTCCTCGTTGTGTGGGTGGAACTCTGGTGCCTCCGCTCTCAGCTGACTCTCGATGAGTTGATCTGACTCCATGTTGTGATGCTGTAGAGGTGCATGAATGATGGCTTCCCAGTCTTCTTCATCATCTGAGCTATCTGCATGTCTCTGCTCCTCTTTTTCTTTTTTTGGTCTTTTAGGTTGAGTGGTTACTTTTGGTTCTGTTGTTGAAAGGAAATCGCATGGAAGCAGCAGATTCCTGTGGATGGTCCTGATTCGCCCTTTTCCACTTTCTGGGTGAATTTCATACACAGGGCTGTCCTGATATTTTCTTTCTTTAACAATGTACACTTTATCTTCCCAGAATGCTCTTAATTTTCCTGGTCCTCCCTTCTCATTCAGATTCCTAACAAGCACTCGGCAACCTGGATACAACTCCCCTCCATGCACTTTCTTATCAAAGTGAGCCTTCCCTCTCATCGCCTGCTTACTGGCTGTTCTGGATGCCAACTGATAGGCTTCACTCATCCTTGTCCTCCATTTTTCTACATAGTCCTGGTGAGAAGAGCTTTGGTTCTTTTCGCTGAGACCAAACATAAGATCGATCGGGAGCCGGGGCTGACGACCAAATAAGAGGAAGTAGGGAGCATAGCCAGTAGCTTCACTGCGTGTGCAATTGTATGCATGGACCACTTTTGATAAAGAAGATTTCCAATCTCTTTTTTCAATTTCTGGCAGACTCCTCAGCATAGCAAGTAGTGTCCTGTTGAACCTTTCAACTTGACAGTTTCCCTGCGGATGGTATGGCGTTGTTCTTGACCCCTTGACCCCACTATACTTCTCTAGTGATGCGAATAATTTGTTTTCAAACTCCTTTCCCTGGTCATGATGCAGCTTTGTGGGAAAACCAAACTTCAAAACAAAATCCCCAAATATTTTCTCTGCAGCTGTTTTGGCTGTTTTGTTTTTGCAGGGATAAGCCTGGGCAAACCGTGTGAAATGGTCCATCACTACAAGGATGTACTCATACCCACCACAGCATTTCTCCAGATGTAAGAAATCAATGGAGACTAACTCAAATGGGTATGTAGTGATGATATTGGTAAGAGGGGCTCGAGTTGATTTATTTGGCCGCTTTCGTTTCAAACAACTGCATACGCGAGTGACCTAGTGTTCGACATCACCTTGCATGTTAGGCCAATAGAAGCGATCTCTGATGAGATGCAACACCCTCTCCACTCCAAGATGACCCATCTCCTCATGAAGCTCCTTAAAAACAAGTGTACGATATTTCTGTGGTAGAAGGATTTGTGAACGACTCGCTGTTTTGCGGTAGAGTAATCCATCTTCATCCATGTATAATCTGTGTTTTTGTCTCATTAGAGCAGAAACCCTCCTGTTGCCCTTGTACCAGCCACGTTTTGGCTTTTCCTGTGCACTAACACATCTCAATACTTCGCTAATCACTGGATCATCTTGTTGAGCTTGTCTAAGAGCTGCTCTGCTGATGTCCTTTACTGATGTGTTATCTGCATCACATTCTTCTGTGACCAGACTGTTGATGGTTGCTGGGCATAGCCATGGCTCAGACTCCTGAAACTGAACAGCGACTGCTTGAATAACACTGTTCATCACCTCTGGGTGTACTATCTGCGTGCAGGTTTGCATGTACTCCTCCATACTGAGTGACATTCGGGAGAGGCCATCTGCATCTCCATTTACTTTGCCTGGGCGATACTTTATTGAAAACTGGAAATCAGCCAGTTCAGCAACCCATCGATGAGTGGTTGCATTCAATTTAGCTGTAGAAAGCACATATGTTAGAGGGTTATTGTCAGTGTAAACTGTAAATGGTGGTGCATAATAGAGATAATCTCTAAACCTCTCACATATGGCCCACTTCAGAGCCAGGAACTCCAGCTTCCCTGAATGAAGGTGATAGTTTTTTTCTGGGGGTGTTAGTGTTCTGGATCCATATGCTATGACTGCTAGAGTTCCCTGCTGTCTCTGGTAAAGTACAGCACCAAGCCCTTCTTGTGAAGCATCACAATGTAGAATGAACGGCTGTTCAAAGTCTGGATAACCCAATACTGGTGGTTTCACCAGAAAATCTAATAACTGGCAAAGCACCTCTTGATGTTTTGTTGACCATATAATTCGCTGTGATGATGGCAACTGTCCACTGTTCTGATTTTGTTTCCCTACACCTCGCTTTTTGTGTTTTCCTTTTCCCTTTTTCTCTGGGCTCGAGGAGAGGAGATCATAAAGAGGCTTAGCTATGCAGGAGAAGTTTGGGATGTAACTGCGATAGTATGAGACAAATCCCAATAATTTTCTCAGTTCTCCCACTGTTGAGGGTTTTTTTTTCTCTCAAAGCCTGTACAGGAGCAATATCTGCAGGGTCCATTGTGTATCCATCTCTTGTGACCAGTTTTCCAAGAAATCTCACTTGGTTCTTAAAGATGTCACATTTCCTTGGTGTCAGCTTGACTCCTGTTTCCTGATAACGCTGCAATACACTTCTAAGATGATTCAAGTGGTCTTCAAATGTTTTAGAGTGCACCAAATTATCATCCAGGTAAGGCAAACACACCTCATCACGTAGCCCAGCCAGGCACTCTTCCATTGACCTCTGAAACTCTGCTGGTGCTGATGATAATCCAAATGGTATTCTCACCCATTCATACAGACCCCATGGCGTGATAAATGCAGTGAGCGGCCGACTTGATTCTTCCAGGAAGCCCTGATGATAGGCTTTTCCCTGGTCAAGGACAGAAAACCACGAACTTCCAATCAGACTGTTTAGCATGTCCTGTATGCGGGGAATGGGATGACGGTCTGGTAGAGACTTCTTATTCAACTCTCTATAGTCACAGCACAGTCTGAGACTACCATCCCTTTTACGCACACAGACTATCGGGCTAGAGTAGTTTGACTTAGACTTTGTTATCCACCCCCTGTTTAACAAATCTTCAAGATATTCTTTCACCTCGTTGTGCAGTGGTTTTGGAACAGATATATATGTTCTAGTCACTGGTGTGGGATCTTGTAACCGGATTTTGAGCTGCATTGAGGGGATGGTTCCAACATCATAATCATCACGAGAGAAGGCTGCACACTCCTCTCGAAGTAGTTGTTTCACCAACTGCTGTTGTGCTGGGGAAAGGTGGCTGATGGGAACTGGTGGGTCCCAACGATCTTCACTTTCAGCCCTGCTTTGATTCTCTTTTTCGTCCCCTTTGCTCTCTGATCCTATTGAAGTTCCCTTTTCACAAATGAAATTTGGTGTCTCCATTTCATTTACTTCTGTTGGTGCCACATACATTGCTTTTACTGCTTGGATTTGACCTACTTTACTTTTGGAGGGTAAAACAATATCATGAGCAGTATCATTGTTCACTGGGATTCTGAAGCAGGACCAGGAACTCTGTTGTAAGCACACTATTCCTTCTTTAACCCTTAGTCCTTCTGGTAGCTGTGACTGGGACAGAGGTTCAAACAGGACTCCTTGCTGACCTGCGAGCGGACCAGCTCGTGTACTGCACTTCACCATCTTCATCTGGCCAGCTGGGATGATGAGGTTTTCTCCTGATGCTTTAACAGTACTAATGCCCTGTTCCCCATTCATATTTCTCATGACTTTTAGAAATACCTCTGCCTTCTTACTTTCAATAGAAAATGCTGTACTGACAGCTTCTGTAATGATGGGGGAAGGATCTACACCCATTTTTAATAGATATTCAATCACATTGTAACCAATGATTGGTTCTTCTCCCACCGCATCCTCTTCAGCAACTAGAACTGGCACCCAGAGCTCTAGCTGTGTTTGACTCACTGAGGGTAATTTAAATTTTACCTCAACCCAGCCAATAAAAGGGATCGGTGTCTTATTCACTGCTCTTCCATCCAATATTCCAGGTCCAATAATTTCAGTGAGGCTTCTGATAGTAACATCGGGGAGATTCTGCTTTCTCCATTTTTCACTAATGAGGCAGACCTGTGATCCAGTATCCCATAGAGCTCTGGTTTCCACTCCATCCAGCAGGCAGCTAATGGTACACTTCTTTCCAATCAAGTTGAGCAGTTTGTCTCTTTGTGAAGGAGAGAGGAGGTTGACACTAACACTCTCATTCCACTCAGATGATGCGTGTCTCACTGCTTCCATACACTTAGGTTCTGAATGGTGTGTGATGTCAGTGGTAAGCTTGTGTCCATTTTCTGTTTGGGCACTTTCCTTTTTGTCACCTCCTGTTGCTGATACAGATGTCACACTGCTCACAGACATATCTGCTTCTCCGGGCTTATCTGATGTGTTTTTAACAAATCTACACCCACGTGATAGATGCCCACTTTGTCCACATTTGAAACAATGGTCACAAAACTCTCCTCTATTGTTGTCCTGACAGTGTTTGCAGCCACGTCTCCGACTTGGTCTTGACTTGGACAAAGGTAAATGAGAGTCATTAACCAGTCTCCTAATGTCTTGCATCTCACTTTTAAGTTGTTTGATGGCGTCTAAGAGCTTAATTTCTGTGTGAGAGGCAAATGATTGCACTTTTCCAGTTTTATTCTTTATCCCGGTGGAAGATGGCTGTTCTTGTTCCCGAATTGCTCCAATCGTTGTTTTGGGGGCTGACTGTGCTTCTGCTCTAACCTCCCTCACTTTCAGATCTTTATTGTTTCTCCTGAACTTCTGTTGCCTTTCCCATTCAATGCTGGCTGCTTCATTAGTCTTTGCTATCAGTACATCATCTGTAACTGTCAGATCATCCAGGAAGTTCTTGAGCTGATGTTTAACATTATCATTAATAAGTCCTGTTCCTACTGCTCTCAGAAACTTCTTTTGAATCAGTTCTGGGCCATAATCCCCTTCTGAACCAGGTTCTCTGGATGCAGCGAGCAATCTTTCTTTTAACTCTATTGCTCTAAACAAGAAATTTTGTGGAGACTCATTACTATCCTGCGTAATGTTAATTAGACGATGATACAGATCAGTGGAGCTGTCTTCCTTGTAATGTCCCTTCAATATTGTACGCAGCTGTGCAATAGTAAGGTCTGTTTTTATCTCTAGCATATCACGGAGGGGTAAACCTGGGCTAATAGCTCTGACCACAGCCTCTATGATCTCCGCTTCACTGTGATTTCTTTTTAGGCCCATTTCAATCTGATGGATCAGGTTTGAATAGGACAGTTTGTCTCTCTGACCTCTTTCTCCAATTTGGCCATTAATTTTAAACTCTCTTCTTATTGTAACTTCTGGTGGACGTGTTTCAAAGGGGTTGGCAGGTGGTGTTGGAGGTGGTGATGTTTCCTGTTTTTTTACTTTGTTTTCCAATTTTGCCATTTCTCTCTCTAATTTCTTTGCTACAGCCTGGAAACTTAGCTGTAATTCTGCATACTGTTCTCGCAAACCTATAAGAGCAGCATTATCCTGATTCACAGTATCATCAACCATCTGAGACATCTCATATTCGCTCACTTCTTTAGCTTTTGATATTAATCTGCTGAGGAATTTACGAGCTACATCCTCTTCCTCACTCTCCATAGCTGTATCTACAGCTGCATCTATTAGTCTGATCAGCTTGTGTTTTGTGGTCTGATTTTCTGTTGAGACTTTTCCATATGAACACACCTCTTGTAGCTGGTCCACTTTCAACCGCACCAGGGCCTCACTCAACTGGTCTTGCAGTTGCTCCAACTCCATCGCTGGTGTGTCACAATCTCCTCTCTCTTCCCTGAAACACCGCTGATCCCCGTACGGGCCACCAATTTTTGTTGCACACTTAATAAATAATCAGTGTGGTGTTGCGCAGGTTCTTTTATTTTGACAATTGCTGTGGAAACATGAGAGCGACAGTGAGCGCCTTCACTGACCAGCCGTTGCTACGCTTAACTGCCGTTGGCTCGCTGAGTCAGGAGTGCTGCTCACCGTGCTCCATGTGCCCCCTGGTGGCGAAGCGTTGTCACTGCAGTCCAGTGCATCTCAGTAAGATAAGTGGAGCTTAAGA